CTTATATGAGATATAATACTGTAACAGTTTTTGTATACTTTCAGAATGAGGTTATTTTTAGCTACGTTCTTGTTAGTATTGACCTTTGTAGATGCCGTATCAGTTAAGAAGAGAAGGTTCGACGGGTTAGTTTATATACATATACATGAATGAGCTTTTTTAATGTTTGTTTTTGTTGGTACGTCTATTTTTTTTCAAAGAAATATCGTTATCTCGATTAATTATATCGTTATATGATAAATCGAGATACCGATATATTGTTTTCTTCTTCTCTGTCCCCTGCAGGGCTCCGTATGTCTTTTGATGTTTTTTATTGTTTATATTTGAAAGTTCTCCATTTGAAGATTTTCCGTCAATTTGACAATAAAAGCTCCCTTTCGTGGATGTATTGTACCTTTTCTCATATTTGAAAATAATACTTCTGTCTCGGTTACGACCTAACCATATATTTTTTCCCGGATACTTTAACAGTGTAAATCAAAGAAATATGAACCAAAAGGTTTACTTGGATATATTAATACCTGTATAGTCATCCTTGAACTTTCCAATCGACCAATGAAACACATGCAAAAGACAGGTGTCCGGTTAGTTGTGCGGGATATGTAAATACGCATCCACGTCCAGTAATTTGATACCTCGTCACTCTGTCTGTACGTTGAAGAAATCATGTAAAATTTCTTTTTCCGCTCGACATAAATATAAATTATGTTTGCAGAGCCTACATTAAAGATTCATTGATTATTTGTTTGCACCAGGACATTAAGTGAACAGCAGTTAATCAATCAATCAAAGCATATGCAGTGTGTGATCACTAAAAACAAATTTGATCTTATATTACGAGTGAGTGCATTGGAGGTTTAACATTAATTAAAAACAGAATAAATGATATTTGAAATAAGAGTGTGTTTTGAGTTTGTTGAGATATCACGAAACTACAACAAACCCGCTACATATTTATGTACCCTTCTCAAGTCAGGAATCTCGAATGAGATTGTTTTTAGTCATATTTTCAGGACTTTGTTATTTGCAGATTTTTGTGTTGTTGACCAATTGTTTCTGTTTAATTTCACAACTGTTATAGACTAAAAACTATTTAGAGTTTGGCATATTGTATAAACCTTTCTCTATGTTGAAGACTGTAGCTTGCCCTCTACTATTGTCTACATGTTCTTTGACTATTTTGTCTTTAATTGCTGTCTAATTGTCGTATATCACACCGCCTTTCAAAATTTAAACAATGTTTAGAATACAGATTTTTAGTATGGTGCTCCAAAAGCACACTAATGATTATTGAGAATGAGAGTGGTGCACCAAAAGCACACTAAGGTTTATTGTAAATGAGAATGGTGCTCCAAAAGCACACCACTGTTTATCTAAATGAATGTGGTGCTCCAAAAGCACACTGATGTTTATTTAAATATTAGTGGTGCTCCAAAAGCACACCAATGTTTATTGTAGATGAGAGTGGTGCTCCAAAAGCACACCTAATGTTTATTATAAATGAGAGTGAGACAACAGTTAGCAACAGTTTGTGCATAAGTAAGAATTCGAGTAAAGGTTTGAGACATCGTTTGAGTACAGATTAAAATTGTACTTTAAATTCTTGGGTTCAAGTAATAAGAGTTCGACTGAAACGTCGAGAAACAGTTAGAGTTAGAATCAGCGAGATTGCAATTCAAGTTTAAAAAGTTTGATTTGACATTTGAATAACATGCAAACAGGAATTAATTTTGTAACGGCTAAATTGGGGACAAGATGCATTTTTGTCACCGTGAAAACCATCTTTTTATAAGCATGCAAATAATCAAAATTTTGTTATAATGCTTTCAGAAATATTCATACTTTCTGTTGATCATATTTTTGATAATCAATTTGTATTAATTTTGTATTAGCAATCAAGTATTCCGTATGTTTCCGAAAAGTCATGAAGAGGTAAAGAAAATATTAAATCTCGCCAATAAGTATGATGTAAGTAATCATTATGTTTTCTACTTTAAATAAAAGATTCACAATTACAATGTTCATAAAACAACACATAGATCTACGAAAGCCGAGAAGGATCATTCATAATTCAAAATTCAAAACTCGCAAATCAAGAAAGATAAGCCTGTTTTATTACAGTTGAAATCCAAACACAACAAATATTATCTTAATCTTATCATTTTATCTTATATATACCGTAGATTAATGATATAATTGTCCACAGACAAACAATAAATATTTTGAAAGGATATGTGCCCACATTATGTCAGACAAGTGAAAAATTTTTTGTTATCACTAATACTCCGAGAGAGGGATTATCGAGTGTCACTTTTTCCAATGTTTTATATTTTTTCTCCTTTTCGTAAGTTGAGAATCATTCATAATATAAAAAAAAAAGGAGATGTGGTATGACTGACAGACAACTCTCCACAAGATACAAAATAGATCGGCATAAAAACGATACAGTACACATATAAAAAATAAAATTCACACCTAAAAAGTTCACAACGCCAAAAGTAAGTGCTTTTTTATTAGAATAGTTTCTATTTGATAAATCCTATTTTAATTATAATCTCCTTTGTAGTCATTATAAATATAAGAAGATGTCGTATTTATTGTAAATGAGACAATTATCCACAAGAAACCAAGCAACTATAGGTCATCGTACAGCCTTCAACAATAAGCAAAACCCATACCGTATTGTAAGCTATAAAAAAGCCCCGACATGTAAAAAATGTAAAACAATTCAAACGAGAAAACCTACGGCCTTATTTATGTACAAAAACTTACTTCTGCATTTTCAACGTGTTAATATTTTATAGACAGACATATGGAGGTTTCCGAGATCAGCCAATAGCAACATGGACATACATGTGGATGCAAAGCATTTAGAACAATATTCATCTGACTTGGGAGTCAATAGGAACTCATTACACAACATGGATCGATGATGTTCAAAAGTGAGTGCCTATAAAGGGTCTGGATGGGTGACTACATTATCCTATCCTTTAAATTTGTAGGCTATTTTTCTATATTCGTTATTTTTGGCCAATTATTCTCAGTCTATTCTTTACATTATTGTCTATTTTTGTCTATTCTCCCCCCCTTTATTATCTAATCTGTAAACCCAATCCAAACCCTCATACATGCATATATACTAGTATATGATGATATATTAAGTGGTAAAACATAAATATCATATGGGCCTGTAAGAATGGTCTGTATAAGAAGTTTGTGTGCGAAATATGTCTACTTGAACTTTTCAGATTTCTCGACATGTTTTCTATAGACCTTTCTTAGTTATAAAAAGTCATTTTGACTGGATTTTGTGTATCTGTACATGTATATATTTTCCAGCAATGCTACGTAATGTCATGTGCCACTTGTGATACGACACCAACCTACGTCAAAAGCACAAGAAAGCTTAAATTTGAATCTAATAAGAGGGGAAAAAAGGTAATTTGTTATTGAAGTTTTTTTTTCTCGAGAAATCAATACATTTTGCTGATGTCATTTTAGGCTAATTGAAAGCGATAATGTACCAGCTTCCCAACGAAGACAATTAGAAGGTTTCAATTTGGCCCAGTATCATTCAGTTTCTGAGGTAAGTAGTAGTTAGAAACGCATATTTATAGCCCTTTGATATGTTGATTTTCCAGAGCTTTTGAAAAAACAAATTGATACCAGTAACAATTTCCTTCTTGCAAATAGTACTGGTTCGCTACAAAGAGGAGCAAGGTGAGAATTCGAAGTAGATATACAATGATCGCTTTCTTCTCCAACAAAAGTATTATGAGCATAACTGAGCTAACAAGTTTAATCAAACCGTTCGTGAAAATCATCGTGGTATCTATTTACACTGTAATATCTGCTTCTTCTCTTTGCTGCAGCGAGCTAGCTAGTCCTTCTACCTAAAATAAAATGTGCGCGTGTGTGTGTGTGTAATGGGAAAAGGGGGGGGGGGGTACCCGTTACCCGTTACAAATCATTAATTTAGTTTGAGGCAAGATATGGCATTCAGGTTTATTCAAGCAACCTATCAAATAGGAAGGGGCAAAATTCATGGAGGTAACGGTTCCATCATTGAACGTCTGGCATTTAACCCCCTCCCCCAAGAAAACAGTATTTTTGACATTGTGATAACAATTAAAAATTTAATGTTTTTAACCTATACACGTTGGGCTGTTTTCTGCTCTTTGGTCGAGTTGTTGTCTCTTTGACACATTCCCCGTTTCCATTCTCTATTCTACAATTATTATATCAAGCTTATTTCAAAAAATCACTACACGATATTTCTGGAACAATTAGCGATTGACGACCATATATCAGACTTAGTGCAAGCGCTTTCATATAAAATGTATTGTTAAATTAAGTTAATGTGGCCGATAACACTTGACTTTCTATTAATACATCCCGTAGAGCCGAACGGTCCTCTCTTATCTTGCATTGTTGTAAGGGTACACGACTAAGTTCAGTACATCTTAAAGAATACAAGCTTGAAGTGTAAATTACTCACATATAACACTTTGATGACTGTTTTGCTACTTTTTTAGTTGTAAATGCTAGATTCATAGATACATGTTTGATACACACACATTTCAACATTCCTTGTTAAACTTCACATAGAAAAATATTATTGATAATTGTAGAATAGTGCAATTAAGGGAGCTACCATTTGATTTTTATGGGGGGGGGGGGGGGGGCTAGGATGAAAAATTTTGTCCTGCCTTTTTATTTTCCCCTCTATTCGGTCCTGCCTTTTTATTTTTCACTCTATTCGGTCCTGCCTTTTTTTTTTAGTTTATCCTGACTTTTTTTTTTACATAAATTGTCATCCTGCCTTTTTTTGGTAAATAATCTCATCCTGCCTTTTTTTTTACTCAAAACTCCTGTCCTGCCTATTTTTTTCAAATTTCATCCTAGCCCCCATAAAAATCAAATGGTAGCTCCCTAGTTTATCTTCTAGTCAATCTTGAATTTTAAAACTTCAGAAATCCGAGTTTGGTCGCTTGAAATGATTTCAAGCTGACAAAATGAAATAAAAACATTTAGTGCAATACACCCCACAAAACTTCACAAATACGTAAGCGTAATATACTTGTTAAAGGTAATGTATGTTTTAGTTGTGTTAAATAAATGCAAAACAAATTGTTTTCATCTAGAAATAACCTTATTGTGAATTTGACTAGAAATATAAAGAAATACAACACGTTTTAAGAAAATGGCAGGGTATATTGTGCCCGTGGAATTATTCTGTCTGCCCTTATTTTGGAAGTTTGTGCTTGCTTACTTCAGGTCATTAAGAAATTTGACATTATTCCAAACAATCTAGATGCAACCCTATGGCTATACAACAATAGTCGTAAAGATTTTGTTATATTTTAGGATAGGCTGTGGAGAAAGAACAGACAACCACCGCCATCTGGTTCTTGCATTGGTGTAGATTTAAACAGAAATTTTGGATTTAATTGGAATCCAGGTTTGAAATCAATTGGCATTTGATTTAATTATTTTGGAATTCATTAATGACCAGTCGTCATGTTAGCATATACGCCTTAATTGAGTAATCAAAATAGTGACTCGTCATTTCGTAAAGCAATCTTAAAAGGCGGATGTATGATAAGGGCGGTTTGTACTTTAAAAATCTACCTTCAGCTTAGAAAAAAGAAATACAAAATCAATCCGTTTATTTGAAAAAGAAAAAATAACAAATACACTTAACAAAAGAGTGAGCATAAAAAATCGAAACAACACTTTTTAAATTTCATCTGTCCGAAGTGCTTCTCTGGATTTACCTTCATCAGGAAGCCGAATATCTGAATTTGTCTACTAAAGATTAACAAAAAAAACATAAAAAGGACAAAACTAGTTATAAAACAATCCAACATCCTCCGAATAAAATAGCTGTGCAAACAAAGACAAAATTAAAGAACAGCGCATGGTCTAAATAGAGTAACCTACACTACAAACCAGTAAAAGTCTGAAATGGCCTATATCTGTTCTCGACTGTACTGATTTTTACTCGACCAGTCTGATTTGGTCTGAATTTTACTTAATATTGCTCGACCCAGTCTTAACCATACTCGACTGTACTGATTTGTACTTGACCTTTATCTTTGCTATTGAAAATAGTCTCAACTATTACTCGACCAGTCTGAAACAGTCTTAACCCATTCTCGACCTGTACTCGACCAATACTTGACCAGCTCTCGACCTATTTTTTCAGTTGGAACCGTACTCGACCAAAGGTCTGAACAATACTCGACCAGTCTGAACCATACTTGACCAAATAACCTCTACTTTTTATAATTTTGATTGTTAAAATAACTGTTTTAACTGACATGACAACAGCCACAATAAAATAAATATATATATATAAACAGATTTTTACATCCTTACATGATTATCTTAGATTTATCACATCGAGATAGTTAAATTATCTTATTTTAAAGTCTGAGTCTTGTTAAATAAAAAGACTTTCTTTTACCTGAAAACCACACCTATACTGAGGGTAATAAAACCTTATTAAGTATAAAAAAGAAGATGTGGTATGATTGCCAATGAGACAACTCTCCACAAGAGACCAAATGACACAGAAATTAACAACTATAGGTCACCGTACGGCCTTCAACAATGAGCAAAGCCCATACCGAACAGTCAGCTATAAAAGGCTCCGAAATGACAATGTAAAACAATTCAAACGAGAAAACTAACGGTCTAATTTATGTACAAAAAATGAACGAAAAACAAATATGTAACACATAAACAAACGACAACCACTGAATTACAGGCTCCTGACTTGGGACAGATACCTACATACAGAATGTGGCGGGGTTAAACATGTAAGCGGGATACCAACCCTCCCCCTAACCTGGGACAGTGGTGTAACAGTACAACATAAGACAGAACTATAAAAATCAGTTGAAAGAGGCTTAACTCATCAGATGGATAAAAATAAAAATACTACAAATACAAGTGGACGTGGCCGGGTACTTGTACATCCAAACAACAAAAAGACACTAAGTACAGATCTGAGAGTACTCGCAGTTACTGACAGCTAGTTCAAAGCCACTAACAACTAATAAAAAAAATCATGCATCTAAGACTAAATTATCAATCCGTCCACATCCAACATCAAATGAATTTGGTGTAAAGACGTCATAAACAGTCAGAGAAAAACATGACCTTGTGCAATGCCAAGATACAGGTATCGACAGATTGTAGATCCATGAATGTGTATATGTATATAACAATAATATTTAGTTTGCTTTTAATTTACTGATAACAAAATCAATATTAGTACCAATAAAAACAATATTTAATGATCTAATTACAGTGTCGAATTGGTAACCTTTCAGAATAAGTTTATTTAAAGGATCGATAAGTTTACCAGGATCGTTTCTAAATTTCCGGGCACGGTAAACAATATTGCCGTAAAAATGAGGATGTGCAATCCCGTTTGAAATAAGTTTTCTACAGGTACAACCAAACTTCAAAACCAAATCTTTATATCTGTGGAAGAATTTAGTAAAGGTTTTTAGTAATTTGTGGTAACGAAATCCCTGGCTTAATAATTTACCAGTAATACATAGATTACGTTCGTTAAAATAAAAAAAGTCACAACAGACACGGGCATAGCGAACGAGTTGTGAAATATAAACACCGTAAGATGGTGCCAAAGGAACATCACCATCCACAAAGGGAAAATTAACAATAGGGAACGAAAAATCGTCCCTTTTGTCGTAAATTTTAGTGTGGAGTTTCCCGTGTAAAACCGAAATATATAAATCTAGGAAAGGGCAGTTGTTACCGTTTAAATTTGATTTATTTAAAGTAAAATCCTTTGGGTAAATTTCGGCCGTATATTGATAAAATTCTTGATTATTTAACGAAAAAATAGCATCAAGATAACGGTAAGTGTTGTTGAATTTATCAGTTAAATGCAATTTAGACGGGTCTTAACTGAGTTTGGTCATAAACTGTGATTCATAACAGTACAAAAACAAGTCTGCTATTATAGGTGCTCAATTAGTTCCCATGGGAATACCTACAACCTGTCGATAAACTTTGCTGCCAAAACGTACATAAATATTATCAAGGAAAAAAATAACAGCTTCAATTATCTCATCACACCTCCAGTAAGTATATCTAGCATATTTACCTTTCTCATTAGAGAAGAAGGCTTTAAATGAGTTGCAGCAAATATATTTGCATTCAGATTTACCAAACGACCATTTAATTAAAAAGTCAAATTTTTTGTTTGAGAAGATTGTGTGGAAGTGTAGTGTAAAGAGTAGAAAAGTCAAAACTGTCAACAGAATCAAAAGCACGTTTTTTATCTAAAACATCCAAAGAGTTTTTTACACTCCAAAAATAGTTAATTCCACTATTTTCATATATTTTATTACAATAGTTTATGATAAGCTCTTTGATAGTAGTTAAGGAACTTGTTAAAAGCACTGAAAGATTAGTTGTAGAACACTTACTAGAGGCCGAGATGAAACGATATTTTACTGGTTTTTTGTGTAGTTTAGGTAAGCAATACATAGTAGGGACCTTCAAATGTTCAGAAGAAGCCTTAAGCTGTGATATGGTTATGATATGTTTGTTAACTATATGACTCTCTGTGGGTCGCATTGACTTGAATGTAGATGAATTTAAAATTTCATTCTTAAGAACGTCCCTGTAGTATTTACGGCATACCACCACAGCATTGTTGGCTGCTTTGTCGGCCGGTACAAACACAAACCGCTTTGAAAGTTCTTGAAGTCTATTTCTTATTCTGGAAATAGGCGTATTATGTACTCTATTATATACTTCTAAATTATTTTCAAAATGTGATATTCTATTATCTACCACATTCATACATTTATTTAAAAAGAATCAAGAGATTTTTTATCAGATTTTTCCCGTTTACACCAACTTTTACAAAACGAGGAAAAAACATCTTTGGTGACCTGACGACACTGTTTCCAATCTATTTTAGATGGAGGACGACATTTTGGTCCTTTTTTTCAAAAAGTTTTTAACCTCTTTGTCCTGGACGATAGTGAGGTCCCCGTAATAACATGGCCATAGGGAACATATCTAAACTTCGACGATTCACAGTTTCAAGTTAAAGGAGTATTATTTTCTACATTGACGTCTGATGTTACCGGCGTATAATTAAAAATTAAACGTCTTCTGGGTTTTTTGTATGTGTATGAAATAATAGGTGGTTCTGTGTTATCAAAATAGGGAGGTATGAAGTTTTGAACGGTAGAGTCATTAAATATACTAGATAATTTGAAAAAATCAATACCTCTGCTAATATATTTAAATTTTAGAAAATGACGTTTATGATCTTTGGGTTTGTCGATACGCGGGAACAGTCTATGGTGGTAAAAAGCTGTAATTATACGCGAATATTCATACATCGGGCTGAAGAAAGAGATGGTGTCACACTCCTTGAAAATATCATGTAATTTACTAATTGGTATTTGACCCAGTTTATATAATAGTTGATGCCTACCATTGTTTTTAAATATAGATAGGAGATTACCAAGTGTATAATTTATACGATGTTTAATTCGTTTTCGATTGATACGTTTGCCATGAGACCTATTATTTCGTTGTCTTTTATCCATAATATTCATGATATCAATAGAAGAAGTTGTAGATATGTTCAAGGTTCTTTTTGTTTGGCATGTGTTGTTTTTTTTAAACAGAACTTGATTTTCCTAAATTCCTAAATAAAAACTACGTAGGTTTCATGGTTACATACAATAATGAGGTAACAACATCCAACAAATCACTGACATTGTTTAACCTTATTTCAGAAATATATCTATTCCTATTTATAATTTGGGATATATATTTTTTTAAAATGGATAAAAAATTAAAGAAATGATTAGGGTGAACTATAAAGTAATACATCTTGCTTGGGGCACACTGATTAAAAAGGTCACATCTGGTCAGAGAGTAATGAATTTTAAATAACATCCAATGAAAATTACAACATCCTGTAAAACTTAATTAACAAGGCCTTTTGAATTCACTAGATAAGTAATACACGAGTTTAAGAAAAATATGATTTTCTTTTTACCTGTAAAACACACCTATACTAAGGTAATTAAACCTTATTAAAGTGCTTCTTGTATGCCGTATTTAAATTTAATTAAAATAAATTTCTGCTGCAACTTTGGAATGCATTTCCTTTTTTAAAAGGTTAACAAAGATTGCTATGAAAGTTTTATTATTATTATTATATCAAATTTTTGGATTTACAAAACAAAGGTGTCAATTTTAACATTCATTACTATTTTATATATATTTAAAAATTGGAATAACATTTAAGATATTTGAATAATGGTTGAAAGTTCTAGTATTTTTGATGTATATAAAGCAATGTGAACATGATATGTATATAAAAATTCATTTGACAAAAACTTAATTTATTACATGATATTTTTTTAATCCAACCAGAAATGTGATTACCTTGTTTTATTTTAATTTTAAATGTGATATACATTGTATATATATAAATAGACTTTTTCACTCTTTTTTGGTCTTTTGAAAATTGTTGTTTTTGCTGTTTTTAGATCCCTCTACCACGAAATTTGTTTTACATGCACACGTATAAAAATTGCGGTTTTTATCCAACGCAATCATAGGTTTGAACGTTTGTTTTCAATTTAGACTTTTATATATTTTTTTCGTTTGAGCTTGTATTTTATTTTCTTTCGGGTTTGTATGATCCGTTCATCTTATTTCGACTCTTTAAAATTCAAGAGTCTTTCCTAAATTGAGGTAAATTATATAGCCTTCCAAATATCAATCCCTTACATCACTGAAGAGACATAAATTGTTGAAATCCGGATATAGTGTACAAATTTTTGCACCTCATGTTTGTAGTATACCATCCTTTCCACAAGTTTATTGTTTTCTGTTTGGTATTAAATTAATATTCAGATCTATTTTGGTAGATCTGGTGATCAATTTATTTGGCAATCGCCAATGGAAGTCAACAGGGTTTAAGAACATCAGTTGTTCGACCTGTTAGTCAAATGCGTTTTGTTAAAATAGACTTTTTCACTTTTTATGGTCTTTTGGAAAATGTTGTTTGTGCTGTATTTAGACCCCTCAACCAAGTAATTTGTTTTGCATACACACGTATAAATATGCGGTTTTTATCCAACGCAATCATATAGGTTTGATCGTTGTTTTCAATTTAGACTTGTTTATATTTTTTCGTTTGGGCTTGTATTATATTTACCTTCGGGTTTATATGATCCGTTCACCCTTTTTGTCTCTTTCAAAATTCAAGAGTCTATCCTAAATTGAGGTAAATTATATGGCCTTCCAATTACCGTTTCGATTCCTAACATCACTGAAGAGACATTAATTGTCGAAATCCGGATATGGTGTACAAATTTTTGCACCTCATGTTTGCGGTATACCATCTTTTCCGCAAGTTTATTGTTTTCTGCTTGGTAATAAATTAATAATAAGACCAATTTGTTACATCTTGTGATCCGTTTATTTGGCAATCGCCAATGGCAGTCGGCAGGGTTTAAGAACATCAGCTGTTCGACCTGCTAGTCAAATGCGTTTTGTTAAAATATAATTTTCACTCATTTGGTCTTTTGGAAAATGTTGTTTGTGCTGTATTTAGACCCCTTTACAAAGAAATTTGTTTTGCATGCACACGTATAAAAATTGCGGTTTTTATCCAACGCAATCATAGGTTTGAACGTTGTTTTCAATTTAGACTTGTACATATATATATATGTATAACAGTTCCTAAATTGATGAAATACAATAGAAAGATACATAAAATAGGTCTAGGTTGGTTAAGACTTGGTCGAGTATGGTTCAGATTAGGTCGAGCATGGTTCAGACTTGGTCGAGAATGGTTAAGACTATGTCGAGTATGGTTCAGACTCGTATAAAATGGTTAAGACTACAGTCGAGTAATATCAAGTAAATTTCAGACCAATTCTGACTGGTCAAGTAAAAATCAGTACGTTGAGTACAGATATAGGCCATTTCAGACTTTTACCGGTTTGTAGTGCTATCACAGGCAAAACATATTTTAGGATAAGCCAATGCACACAAAACTGCTCCATTGTTCATCTAGAAAATAAGTAACACACAATAATAACTTTAACAACGAAATAGAAGACGGCACATAAGTTTGAAGGCAGAGTCAAATGTACATGTGTTTGCTGTTACCGTAAGCTAACTGAGTCAGGCACAGCTTTCGGTCAAATTCTGCCGCGGCTCAGGTAAAATATAATCAGAAACAACACTCCTTACAGTTGTAATATATACTAATGATACCAGGAATTACTGAAATTATTGGACAGTACAACCGACTACACTAAAAAACATTTGACTTCTCAAAGAAAATATACATACAGATAAATAGAAACAGCAACAACTAACACAGGATTGAGTTGGGTTAACCAGATTTTTGTGCACACAAAAATTAAAAAAACAAACATGTAAAAAGTAATATAAACATTAAAAAAGTGTGTAAAAATGATACAAACATAAAAAAAAACATGCAAAAAGTTATACAAACAAAAATCCTATATAGTTCGCTTAAAAAACGGCGTTAAAAGATATATTCTAAGACACAAATTACATTATTACGGTTAATTACTGTAAATTCAGAAATTATTGCGTGCGTTTATTATTGCGATTTTAAAAAAAAAAATGGAACAAATGCGAGATTAATCATTGCGATTTCAGGAAAAAGTGAATAGAAATATATGTATTAGATATCATAATGCGAGTTCTTATTATTGCGATACTCATGCAACCGCATTATTCGCATTAATAAAAACCTCGCAATAATTTCTGAATTTACAGTATACGAAAAACCTATTAGACAATTACATATTGCAGTATATCAATAATCCTTTTTAAGCGATTGGTGGAAGTACTTATCCATGTTCGGAAGTGTATGCAGGCACCAAAGCATTAACTGCACCGGAAACAGCAGCTGTTAGAAAACTCATGCGTGATATTCATTGCCACACAATTGCATACCTCGACATACACGCTTATGGACAAATGTGGTTATGGCCATGGGGATATACGGCTGATGTTTTGCCATCTGAACTCGAAGACTTGGTCAGTATGAAAACAACATAGTAAATAGTAAAATAACACCAGTTTACATGATGTTTGGCTGCTGTTGTTCCTTAGGCTAACATTTAAATAAAATGTCGTATTTTTAACCAATTTTATACCTCTAACTACTCAACATAAGAATATTATACGAAGAAAACAAATCCATTGTTAGTTATTGCTATATAAACGAGAGTATATTGATTAATGCAATTATCTGATATTTTTCTGTCAACTTCAATTCTTGCAAGTATTTATGAAAATAAGGATAGGCCTTATTGGCTGACTGTAATATTTAAAACACTTTATGTACCAGCTTTAATTATCAAACTTAAATGAACGCAATTCATTAGAGGAGAGTCAAACCAACAGACTTTCTGGTAATACTTAGGTATTAAATATCCTTGCATTAATTTGTATATTGTTATGTATTTTCAAACAGAAACACTATGCAAAAGTAGGAGCAAATGCAATCAGCAAGAAATATAATACTAAATTCATTATTGGTGGAGATGCTACAGATTTATGTAAGTTCATATGTTCCCATATGTTAAACAAATCAATTCTGTATTTTTGTACTGGAAAAGACCCTTAATGATAGCATTCATATATGGTTACAAACAGTAATAAATTGGAAAAAAAATTAATGACAAAATGAAATAATTTGTTGAGTCACATGTAACGCCAGTCAGTTCACAACCTAGCTATTATAGGAATCTATTAAGCTTTTTAACGAGGTGCCAAGTCTGAATTGGTTGAGAACTATATAGCATTTGTTTTCTGTTACTCTGCATTTTACCATCCTGTTACCCTGTATTTGACAGTGCTGTTTGTCTGCATTTTACCATCCTATTACTACATGTATGTATTTTACCACCCTGTTTCTCTGAATCTTACCTTCCTGTTACTCTGCATTTTACCTTCCTGTTACTCTGCATCTTACCTTCCTTTTACTCTGTATTTTACCATCCTGTTACTCTGCATTTTACCTTCCTGTTACTCTGCATCTTACCTTTCTGTTACTCTGCATTTTACATTGATGTTACTCTGCATCTTACCTTCCTGTTACTTTGCATTTTACATTGCTGTTACTCTGCATTTTACATTGCTGTTACTCTGCATCTAACCTTCCTGTTACTCTGCATCTTACCTTTCTGTTACTCTGCATCTTACCACCCTGTTAGTTACTCTGCATTTTAATTTGCTGTTACCCTGCATCTTACCTTCCTGTTATTCTGCATCTTACCTTCCTGTTACTCTGCATGTTACCTTTCTGTTACTCTGCATCTTACCGCCTGTTACTCTGCATTTTACTTTGCTGTTACTCTGCATCTTACCTTCCTGTTACTCTGCATCTTACCTTCCTGTTACTCTGCATTTTACCTTCCTGTTACTCTGCATCTTACCTTCCTTTTACTCTGTATTTTACCATCCTGTTACTCTGCATTTTACCTTCCTGTTACTCTGCATCTTACCTTTCTGTTACTCTGCATTTTACATTGATGTTACTCTGCATCTTACCTTCCTGTTACTTTGCATTTTACATTGCTGTTACTCTGCATTTTACATTGCTGTTACTCTGCATCTAACCTTCCTGTTACTCTGCATCTTACCTTTCTGTTACTCTGCATCTTACCACCCTGTTAGTTACTCTGCATTTTAATTTGCTGTTACCCTGCATCTTACCTTCCTGTTATTCTGCATCTTACCTTCCTGTTACTCTGCATGTTACCTTTCTGTTACTCTGCATCTTACCGCCTGTTACTCTGCATTTTACTTTGCTGTTACTCTGCATCTTACCTTCCTGTTACTCTGCATCTTACCTTCCTGCTACGCTGCATTTTGCATTGCTTTTACTCTGCGTTTTACATTGCTGTTACTCAGCATTTTACCGTCCTGTTACTCTGCATTTTACATTGCTGTTACTCTGCATTTTACATTGCTGTTTCTCTGCATTTTACCATCCTGTTACTCTGCATCTTATCTTCCTGTTACTCTGCATTTTACAGTCTTGTTACTCTGCATTTTACTATTCTGTTACTTTTCATTTTACATTGCAATTACTTTGCATCTTATCCTCCTGTTACTCTGCATTTTACCATTAATTTACTCTGCATTTTACTCTGCTATTACTCTGCATCTTACCTTCCCGTTACTCTGCACTTTACATTGCTGTTACTCTGCATTTTACCTTCCTTTTACCCTGCATTTTACCTTCCTGTTACTCTGCATTTTACATTGCGGTTACTCTGCATTTTACCTTCCTGTTTCTCTGCATCTTATCTGCCTGTTACTCTGCATTTTAAATTACTGTAACTCTGCAATTCACCTTCCTGTTACTCTGCGTTTTACCTTGCTGTTACTCTCTGCATTGTACATTCCTGCTACCCTTTTTTTACCTTCCTGTTACTCTGCAGTTTACCTTCCTGTGACCCTGCGTTTACCTTCCTGTAACTCTGCATATTCGCTTCCTGTTACCCTGCTTTTACCTTCCTGTTACCCTGCATGTTACCTTACTGTCACTGTTGATATTATCTTTCTTTTACTCTTCATTTTACCATCCTGTTACTCTGAAACTGCTTTTCACAATTACTGTTAATTTTTATTGACATACACATCCATATTTCAAATGGACGACCAAACACTAAGCATTAACATCATGTCAACAGGAAAAGGACACAAATACGCGAAAAAAACTATTTCAATTAGAAAATGACAAATGTTTTGATAGTCAAAACAGTTTGCCTTTACAGTTTAGTTTAATATTTTCACCTAGTTAATCAACAAAATTTCGAAAAAAATTGATAACGCCTAAATACTAAAATATTAATATGTCTGATCGTCGGATAATGCATATGCAGAACGTTAAATACTATGAGAACACTTCAATGTTCTAACATGTACTTTCCTTTTTCCTCTCTCTTTAGAAACTTTCCTTTCATTAAAGAAAATCATTTTATAAACGATATTCAACATTGTGCTTCTCAAAATTTTAGTTTATTTTATGAAAACCAAACTTTACTATCGTTGTTTTTTTGTTTGTTCTGTAGAAAGCATCATTTGACTTATTTCATACTTCACAGAGGTTCTTTTTGGACAATACCCGGGTTTTTTTCACAAAATAAAGAAGTGTTATAAGTATTGTTCCTGTTACACTAATTTTACAATAATGTATTGTTAGATCCAGCTTCTGGAGGTGCAGACGACTATGCAAAAGGCGTGGCTGGTATACAGTATTCCTATACTGTAGAATTGAGAGACGAAGGCAATTACGGATTTGAACTTCCTGTCAATCAAATAGTGCCCACTGGAGAAGAGATGTTAGAAGGCATACTGGCATTTGCTAAGGAATTATTTGTCCGAGAGAGCCTATAAATTGTCAACATGTAATGTTTTTAAATATATTTCTACTACTATATTCTGGTTTTATTTATACTCACTTCTGCCTTTTTGAGATTACAAAAAAAAAGGAGAATACAACTTTGTTGTAAACACAAGTCGTAGAAGGTCAGTCAATGCATTGTAAATATAGAAAAGTCGTAAAGAACAGTTCATTTTAACACTAAATGAAAACTCTTGAATGAAAACAAAAGAACTGTACCAAAACCTGAGGTGTGAACTCTCATGTGTCAAAAGGGTATGCTATTCCTTTTCTATTAGTGGTACCAATGGTATTGCCCATGGCATGTACATATCAGGTGATACACTTGATACATATAGATGTTCCGTATTGGCCAATCAGGTCAAAAAGGTGTCCATAAATTTCGAACGATGACCACGACTTTTATCTTAAAGAATCCTTGTACACTTTTTATTAAAAAATCCTGATAGGGAATTGTTTGTTCGTAAATTTCATATCAACAGAGAGATATAATCACAATTAGACAGCTTTCGCCTACGTGTTGCTTCATACGAAAAAGAAGTTTAAGAAATCACCTTTTTTAATTTAAAGTTAAAAGTTGTCAAAGAAATGTAACAGACGAAACATGACCAAAGAAATATATGCAACAATTTAGCTGTTTTTTTTCCTACTCTTATTTTCAAGTTCGATGGAATGGATGCAGTTAACAAAATATCTAAGTTGTTAATTATTCTTTAAGAGTACAATGTCCGAAAAGACATATATGAAACCACACATTTTATATCATGTTATATTAATATTTAAATTCCGTTCAGTTCGAGCGTCACTGATGGGTCTTTTGTAGACGAAACGAGCGTCTAGCGTACAAAATTTCAATACTGGTATCTATGATGAGCGTTTTTTCCCCAGTTGGATAAATTTAAGATAACGATCGTTAACATTTTATAATAAATGAAAAATGTTCTAGCTTTTTGAAAGTTCAACAGAAATCATTGTACCATTAATTGCCTCCTTGCTCACAAAAAATATTGAAATTATTTTACTAGTTTGACATACGTATCTTTAATTGATCATGTTGATTAACCAACCGATGTTCTTCTTGAGAGATTCTTGAAATAAAGCTGTATACAACATCAATATCAATTCATCACATATAAAAGAAATAAATAAAACCTTACATTAAAATCAAGTTACTCTGAAGTACAAGTACTCGTGCCGAATTATGATTAAATAACAGACAAACAGACATTGTAATAAATAAAATGCTTGACGTCATTTTTATGATGATCTCGGATGGCTGTTTAACGTCCAGTGGCAAATTAAGTAAATATTCAATATCATATTAGTAACTTGTTAAAGTGATATCGATGAATAAGAACCCTGCCTTGTACTTCACCGGATCTCTAACTTGCTAGTTCACAAGACGTGTCACCCTACCGGAACTGAATCTGGGCCGACAAGTCTTAAATGCCGAGTGCTTATAAGAAGAGGCGTTTATCAATTTTCAAGTCTTTGGTTTGACTCTGTCGATCATCGAACCCACGACCTCCACCACCAGACCACCGAGAGGTTTCTTTATGTAAGATGTTGCGATGTTAGTTCCAATACATTTATTCATATTCAAACTAGGAAATTTGGTATGATTACCAATAAGACAACTTTTCAATCAATAAAGACAAAGGACAAAGGTTTTAACATCTACCAGTCATTGTGCAAAACGCAGTACACCAGCAACAACACTAACACCTCGGTAACAATATTATGATAACGTATGTTGTGATCCGAATAATATGCGAGTGACATGTGGCTCGCTGTTGGTTATCCTTCAACCGGCCCATTAGTCAACCTTAATTTTTTCTGCACCATATGCGCCTTTCGAAAATTAATGTCTCTTCACTGGCAGTGATTCTTGAGGCCATATTATAAGCCCAAAATCTAAATAAAACGTTGAAAAGCTGATAAAGCCAAAACGGAAAAAAGGTGAAACCAAACCTGGACAAGCGGAATCAGAGATGCATTCATTAATTAAAAATGATTTCAGAATTGTATCACAGAAAATTTAAATAGAACAATGTCCGTTTTTCATGCCCTACCGAATTGCTGGCTACTGGGCTAGTGATACTCTCGGGGACTTACAATCCGCAAGCAGAGGTATCGACCAAGTGGTAACTACAACATAAACGGTACCAATTTTATTGCACCAGATTCGCATTTCGACAGTTTATGTCTCTTCAGTAATGCTGGAGGCCAAATATTTGAATGTCCAAAACCCAATACAAACTTTAAAAAACTGATGACCAACAGTATGGCCAAACCCGAACAAGGAATCAGAACTGTGTATGAGGGAGAACAAGGAATCAGAACTGTGTATGAGGAAGAACAAGGAATCAGAACTGTGTATGAGGAAGAACAAGGAATCAGAACTGTGTATGAGAGAGAACAAGGAATCAGAACTGCGTATGAGGAAGAACAAGGAATCAGAACTGTGTATGAGGGAGATACATTCATTAAAATGATTTCGAAATTCACGTAGTGAGGTAGTTATACATCATTGGTTAAAATAACGGGTTTGAGGTTTCCTGATGAAGATTAATTCGGTAAAGCGCTTTTTAACCGCGGAATTCATAATTTGTTATTTACCTTTAATTCTATAAAACAAGGAAATTGAATAACCTATAGTTACAAAACATGTACCGCAACATATACTTCTCGTCAAATTTGGTAAAACAACAATACATATGTATAATAAAATCCTGTTATAAAAATTAGAAGATGTGGTATAATTGCCACTGAGACAATATTCGCGAGAGACCACATAACGTAGATACAAGCAACTATAGGTCACCGTAAAGCTGTCAACATTGAGCAAAACCCTTACCGTATAGTCGGCTATAAAAGGCCCCAACATAATTAAATGTTAAAAAATTCAAACGAAAAAAAAAACACCGACCTGATGTATGACAAAACAATAAACGAGAAAAAATATGACACACGTAAACAAACGACATCCATCGAAGTACAGGCTCCTGATGGGACAGGACATATAGAATATGGCGGGGAAAACATGTGTAATAGCGATTTTAACCTGGGACAGTGGTGTAACAATACAACATAAGAAAAAACTGTAAAACAAGCCTCGTGAGATTGATACAAAGTACAAAATCAACTAACAAATAGACTTAAGACATAATTTACCGATCTAAGAGTATTGATAATTGAAGTCACCGAAAACTAGTTTATAGCCAATTACAGCTAATCATGTTTTCCTGACCTAAATATCAATTACCACACATTCAAAGAATTTAGTGTAAAGACGTCGCAAACGCTGAGAGAAAACATGACCTTGTAAAATGCCAATATATAAGTATCAACGAGATGTAGAACTGTAAGTGTTATTTGCTATATAGGTATACATATTTAGTTGTGATTTAAATTATAAATAACAGAATCAATGCTAGTATCGAAAAACACTATATTAAAAGATTGTATTACAGTGTTGAATTGCATAACTCTATTTAAAAGATCCACACATTTTCATGGATCGCATCTTAATTTGCGGATTCTATAAAAATATCACTGTAAAATGAAGACGTTATATCCTGTTTGTAATCAAGTTTCTATAGTTAAGGTAAAACATTCTATTTAAATCTGTGTATATATGAAGGAATTTTATTAGTTAAAGATTTCAGTAATTTGTTGTAACGAAATCCCTGATCTAATAGTTTACTATTGACACATTTATTTCGTTCGTTAAAGTCTACAACGTCACTACGGGCACAGGCATAGAGAACGAGATGGGATATATGAACGACGTAAGATAGGGTCAAAGTATCATCCCCGTTAAAAAAAGGAATACTAACAATTGGAAACGAAATATCGTCCTGCTTGTTGTTAGTTCATGTATAGAGTTTCCAGTTTGAAACTGAAATATCTAAGGGTAAATTGCGGCAGTAAAGTAAGAGAATTCGCGATTATTTAACGCAAATGTCTTCAAGATAACGAAGATTGGGATTTCCATTAGTAGTTCATATATGTACATGTAGTTTGAAACTACAGAATGTGTTCACCCACCGATTAAGGAACTCTGAAAACGCAGTTTTGTGGGATTTTTAGATCAACGATGAATTTTTCGTACTTGATTCAATTTAAGGGTCTGGTGGAGGTTCTTACAACAACCTTGCCTACCTCTAAAGAACCAACATAAGATATGATTGTCAGTTCAATAACTATGATTGAAAACAAAAGGTCCTGGAGTTCTAGAATAGTGTTATTGTACCATTACGTACTATGGTATATGTAACAATAAATAAAAAAACCTTCTTCAAACCAACACGATATGAAAATATCTGCGAAAATTGTACTCTTATGACCTTAATTTGTCCAAAATTTACAACATGAGCACAACATCCAGATTTTTCATTCAATTGTCCATTCCATGCTTTAGTATTTGCCACATTTTGGTCCAAAATTTCAGAGCTTGTTATGAAATCAATAATACTATCTTGAAATGATGAAGACAAATTTGTTGGACATTTTAAAATTTGTAAACACCACTTATGTAAAATTGCTTTTGTCGCTTGTATTCATCAATTAAAAAGATAAATTATTTCCCTTGGGAGTATTAATTTCCAAAAACAGTCCTTTCATAAAGTAGAAAATGAAATATTAGATACATTTAATAAACTAAAAGATAGAAAATATGTTCATTTTTGAAATGTTTTTGCTGTATGAGCTGGCAAGAAGGTGAACAATTCTTTACACATGAGAGTATTCATTCCATCTGATTTTAACTTCAACTGGCCTCTTTTCCCCTAAGATGTACAAATACATTGTACTTCTAGAAGAAGCCTTTAGTTCAGTGGCTGTCGTTGGTTCATGTCTGTCATATTTGGTTTTTGTAAATCTTTTTGTTATAAATCATGCTGTTAGTTTTCTCTTTTGAATTGTTTCACATTTGTCATGTCGGAGCCTTTTATAACCGACTTTGCAGTATGGGTCTTTCTCATTGTTAAAG